GAATGTGTTTAGCATAAATTAGGTTAAACCACTAATATTATGATGAGTGAGTTTGTAAGCACTAAAGCCCTTTTGTTTTTGGCAGATAGGGATGTCGAGCGCAACCGAGACCCTATGCGGCCAAGCATACGGAGCCAAGCAATACCACATGATGGGAATCTATCTCCAACGCTCGTGGTTTATCGACTTCATCACCCTTACAATCCTACTCCCACTCTTCCTATACGCCGACCCGATTTTCAACCTGCTCGGCGAACAACGCGAGATTTCTAAATCCGCGGGTTATTTCTCCGTGTGGTTCATACCATTCGCGTACAGCCTCATATTCAGCCTGACCTTGCAGATGTACCTTCAAGCCCAGCAGAAGAACGCGATCATCGCGTGGCTGTCGGCCTTCCAGCTGGCGATCCATGTGGCGCTCAGCTGGCTCTTTGTGAGCGTGCTCGGTTTTGGGGCAGCGGGGGCAATGGGGGCTCTCTCGGTGGCCTCGTGGTTCGTGGTGTTTGGGGAGTTTGCTTACGTGTTTGGAGGGTGGTGCCAGGACACGTGGAAGGGGTTTACGCTGGCGGCCTTCCGGGACTTGGTGCCGGTCGTGAAGCTCTCAATCTCATCTGGGATCATGTTCTGGTGAGTTTCGATTTTTAGCCCGGTCCAACTGACTCAACTTTTTTATTGGTTAGAGCGCGCGATTGGATATAAGTAAAATCGGTTTTGATTGGATTTATTGGTTACAGTGAGGTTAATTTTTGAATAAAGTTGATTGAGTGGAAAATTGAATGAGATTTTGAGTTTGTATTAAAGTAATATTTAAATGTAATGATTAAAGTTCATATGATGTCAAGGCCTGAGAGATGTTATTGATGAACGGAAAGTTAGTGTACTGAAAAAGACTTTAGACAAGTAAACGAACCGAAATTGAAAGTTTTTCATATAATTTAATTATATTGATAATATTGATTTGAGTTGAGTGGGATTTTGGTTACAAAAATTACATGATCGGTCAAAACTGGTTTTAACTTGTAGCCAATTGGCGCCCTTCGGGCCTTAGTGCTCGTGTTTCATAGGCTCAAATCAATGTGGGTTTTCTTTGAGGCGATCCAGGTTGGGTTATAGAAAAATTGGCCCGAAAAGTTTTGGATCCAAGCACAACATTCATGTAGTTTCGATGCTGAATTTGCAAAATTTGGCCCTCATTTCTTTTTTTCAAGTGACAATGTTCCTGTTTGAGGTTTTTAATTTCAACACTATTTTGGCTTCTTGGTTTTTTATAGCTTGGAATTGTGGTACTTAGCAATTCTGGTTTTACTAGCTGGGTACCTCAAAAATGCTGAAACCGCCATATCCACCTTCTCCATTTGGTGAGCTCCACCTTGTATTTCTTCTTGCACAACACAATCATATGATTAATCTTTACTGATCTAAGATTCTCTTTCTTTTTTTTTTTTTTTTTTTTTTTTTT